GCCCCAGAGCCACACTTACTTCTTCAGTTTCTCATCCAGCTGCTGCTTATCATTCTCCAAATCCATGATGCTGTCCTGGGCCAGCTTCAGGTCTCCTTCCAGTTTCCTCTTTGCTCTCTCCAGGTCCATGCGCAGTTTCTTCTCTTGCTCCAGGGACCCTTCCAGCTGAACACAACAAGACCTTCAGTGCTCTACCAGCCAGCTCAGGCTCCATACCTGTCCTGTTCCTGCTCTGTGTCTGTGTGCTTACATCATCCACTTGCTGTTCCAGCTTGGTCTTGGCTTTGGTCAGAGTATTGACTTTGTCCTCCTCTGCCTGCAGGTCATCCAGGGTCTGCTGATGGGCCTCTTGGAGGGCTTTCTTCTCTTTGGTCAGCTTGGCGATGGTCTCATCCAGGCCTGCCATCTCCTCAGTCAGGTTTTTCACCTTTAGGAAGAAGGGAAGAAATATAAATAAAGGAAATAGATACCAAAGTTCTGTAATAGCACTCAACCCATTTTCTGGAGTGCAAGTAACAGGTTCTACCTCATACCTTGTTTTCGGTGGCGTGTTTTTCCTTCTCCACCTTGGCCAGTGTTAGCTCAAGGTCATCAATATCTTTCTTCAGTTCTGAACATTCATCCTCCAATTTCCTCTTCTTGGCTGTCAGCTCAGCATTAATTTCCTCTTCATCCTCTGCTCTTTCAGTCACCTCCTTGACTTTGGCTTCCAGCTGTATTTTGGTTTTGATGAGCTGGTCGCACCTTTCCTCAGCATCAGCCAAAGCATCTGCTTCCTGATGGGGAGACAAAGATTCTGTTTGATTATAATATTTGAATGTTTCTCGTCTTTATCTTTTAGCCTATCCACTCAAACAGCTTTAAAATGTTGTCATGTTTTCTGCCTGGGAAATAGGTATGCAATTTCTCAGTTATAAAAGCTCAAGTTTTTGTTTTTTTTTGTTGTTGTTGTTGGTTTTTACTCTTTAAAAAATATCTCTCAGAATTTGTACTTGTGATAATTAATGGAGTAGGTGGTTTAGGTACAACTGTATTGTGGAAATCTATAGATGGCATGTTCCTCAGAAAAGCAGGAACCCCTACACCCACTTGAAGCCCTGTGTTTCTTTTACTATCTATCCAAGAGTTCACCACACTCCTGTAAGACACTACTTGCTAAGTTTCATATTTAATATAATGGACACCTGGCCTTCTGCCTGAGACAGAGTGGTAAGAATGAGCAGGTGCTTTTCTGAGTGGGAAATAAATGGTGATACTCACAGCCTGCACTTGGAGCTGCAGGTCATTTTTCTCCTTCAGTAGAGAAACCATTTTTTCCTCCAGCTCCTTCCGCTTTGCTTCCGACTTTGCAAGGTCTTCCTTGGTTTTCTCAAACTCTTGTTTCATGTTGGCCATTTCCTTCTCAGACTCTGCACTCTTCAGCAAGGGCTTGATCTTGAAGAACAGCTTCATCCATGGCCAGTGTTTGACATTCATGAATGAACGAATGTTGTACTGGATGCAGAAGATGGACTCCCTTAGGCATAATTAAAAGGTATAATGAATATTCTCAGTCTGGTGAATGTCAGCACTTTACCTCAAGAGCAAAATTACTTGAACAGAAGAAGAGGAAGGTGTACCTGCGCTCCACCATTCTCTGGTATGCCACCCTCGCCAGGAAGCCCCTACACATGGCCTGGGTGCGGGTGATGAGCTGTGCCAGCTTCTCATCCCTCATCTCCTCCAGGAGCCCTATCAGCCCAGCTTTGAAGAACACCTTGAGAAAGGGAATGTTGTAGCACATCACTGTCAGGTAGAGCAAAGTCCAGGGACGCAGTGAATGGGGGGGTTTGTACCTTGGTGTGTCCAAATTTGTACTGGGTGTGGTCCACATCGATTGAGCCAAGGAGCTTCTCAGAAGCCTTCTTGCTGTCAATGAACTGTCCCTCGGGGATGGCACTGGCATTAAGCACCTTGTATCTGTGGAATCAGAGGAAGATAAGGCTATTTTTTTCCAAGCCAGTAAACCCCACCAGCTCTTTTTAAAATTAGAACACAGCCTAAATGGACCCATGAATGAACCAACATTGCTGTTAATGATGCTGACAAGCACAGAGCTCTCACCTCTGTTTGAAGTCAGCATAGAGGACTCTGCTGGGGAACCCTTTCCTGCAAATCCTGATTCCTTCCAGCACGCCGTTACAGCGCAGCTGGTGCAGCACCAGCTCATGCTCCATGGCACCTGGCAATGCAGAGCACAAATGAATGGCACAGATTGCAGTGCAGAGGGGAATGGATGGATCAGAGCAAGGATCTTTCTGCCTGAGCAGCTTACCAGGTGTTTTAGTCTCATTGGGGATGATACAGCGCACAAAATGGGGGTGAGTGCTCCGCAGATTGGTCATCAGCTTGTTGAGGTTCTCCTGAGGGATTGTGATTCAGTGTGCATTTGTAAGTAAGGTGGAAAAAATGACCCTTTTTATTCTTTGAATTTTACATGAAAGACCCATCAATGGAGATAGACTGGGCTGAAAATTGTCAGCTGAGAATGCTTCAGTTAGTTGCTCTGTTCCTCCTGATTCTCAGCATTAAACATCATCTTGTAGGATAATAAAAACTTGCCATCAACTTAATGAAGGATAGAAAGTGGGCACATTTTTTGACAAAATTTATGTCTATATTAAGTGTAAGTTTAGGTTTTTACAATGTCATTTTTCATTCCATAAGATTTTTGTTTGCAACGGTGGTCTAAAGAGAAGATATATTTAGAATATTTTTTGGTTGGTTGGTTGGTTGGTTGGTTGATTGCTGAGTTTCTTCTTTGCCTTTTTTTCCTGTGTCTGAGCCAGCTAAAAATGCAGAATAATTCTCTGCATATGTGAAAAGATAAGGTGTTTACATACCCGGAAAAGAGCTGAGACGGTCTGGAAGGAAGAACCCTTCTTCTTGCCTCCCTTCTTGCCACCGCCGCCACCACCACCACTAGCCTCTGATAAAATAAAGATAATGAAATATTGGTTGCTTTGGGGACCAACCACCATGCATCAAAGAGATGACATTGCAGAGAACTGACCTGCCTCTCCTCCAGCAGAGGCAAAGAGTAAAGCCAGGGTCTTCACAGATGATTTCTGGTACAGCCCAATGACAGTTTCATTCAGAGGGTCCTTGTTCTTCTCCAGCCAGCCAGTGATGTTGTAGTCCACTGTGCCAGCGTAGTGCACCAGGGAGAAGTGGGCTTCAGCCTTGCCTTTGCCAGGCTTGGGCTTCTGGAAGTTGTTGGACTTGCCCAGGTGCTGGTCATAGAGCTTGTTCTTGAAAGAGGTGTCAGTTGCCTTGGGGAACATGCACTCCTCTTCCAGGATGGAGAAGATGCCCATGGGCTGGGAGAAGCAGCAAAAAATAGCAGTGATAAAATACAGATCTGCCATCAGAAGGGGACTGCAGTAAGGTACAGGAAAATGAGAAATTGGTTGAATTTTTGGATCAAAAATGGATTAAATCTTTGTCAACTTTTGCATTCGCACTTTAGACAAAATACAAATTTGCATCCGAAACTAATGCATTTAATAACTGATACTGTGACATTAATCACATAAAATTTTCTAAATACTTTTGAAATTGATGAGTTGAAAGATGATCTGATTTTTACATTATCACTTTCACAAAGTAATTTGTACAGTTGAAGGTGTCTTTCTAAAATTGACCTTAGTGTAACAGATCAATAGATCTTTCAGTTACTTGCTGAAACTTTATTTTTTGAAGATGTCTTTCCATTCCTATAAAAGAGGATGTTACACAAAAGAGTTTCTGCTCATAGTGCTTTTATTAATTGTTGTTCACCCAGTACTTTTTTTTCTATATACACCTATTATTTTTGTTAGAAATTATTTTTCAGAAATCCCAGTGTTAATATTGAAATAATAATATTGAAATTGTGTCTGGATTCCTGAAAAGAGATCTTTCATTTTTATAGACCAGAAAACTCACTTCCAGAAAATACTTTTCATGCAATTATGTGTGATTACATTGATGCTTTTATTGCCATAGAAAAAAAATTACACTTAATTTTTTTTTTTAAATGAATAGCAGTGTTGTTAATGGATAACCAAAAAGCACTTCATTTGTAGCCTGATCACTAAGGTTTTTAGAACTTACTTTCATATAAATACAATACTGAAATGGCACTTTTTGAATAGCCAGGAACATAAATGGATAATAATGGGTCGGTTTGTAAAACATTAGTGTAAGAAAAAGTAAGCCTAAAGAAAAATTCTGAAATTCTGTAACGAAATATTAAATGTAATCAACACACCTTCTCAATGAGCTCAATGCAGGCAGCCAGGTCCATGCCAAAGTCAATGAACTCCCATTCAATCCCCTCCTTCTTGTACTCCTCCTGCTCCAGCACGAACATGTGGTGGTTGAAGAACTGTTGCAGTTTCTCATTGGTGAAGTTGATGCACAGCTGCTCCAGGCTGTTGAACTGCTCAGTGCAAAGACAAGATTTACTTATTTTCAAGATAAAGAGCTGCCTGTATAGCTTTCTCCTTCATACCCAAAATCCCATCTCAGAATCCTAGGCAGGATATCCAATCAAGACAAAAATGCTTTTAATATTAAAACATCCAGTTAACTATTTTTAAAGAGTTTTTTTTATTTGATTGTGGTGGAATTTTTTGGCTTATTTTTTTACCCTTTGCTAGTTTAGTTATGCTGAAAAAAAAGATTTATTTTTAAATTGAATTTCCTATTTTTTTGTTAGTCTTATTAAGGCAAAATTTACATTACTCTCTTAATTTATGTAAATTTTCCCATTGTCCTTATAAAAACATTAAACATCCTCAGTGTTTGGTAGCCCTGGATTGGACTCGGATACACTCCATAAATATCTATAGAACTTCTCAGTCTGAATTAGAACAGCCAATGTACTCTTCCTGTTGGAATCAGCCTTTCGCTCTTAAGAAAAAAAGTATATATATTGGTCTCATTTTCCAAAACCTTGGTTAACTTCTGTGTGAGACTTAAGTCTACCTTTCTCTTCCTACACTGTAATATTGTATCTTGGATATTTATATGCTATTTGTCTTTGGAATATTTTTAATATTAAGTTAAAATTATTGAAAAACTGTGATACTTGTGCTAATTATGTGAAAGGCAGATGCTTCTTCCTTGTGAATCATATTAAAAAAAAAAAATATATATATAAAGATCCATTGAAGCTCATGGATTGGCCTGAGGAAAAAGCACTGACATATAGAAGGGAGGAAAATACTTCCAGAAAGTAACAAAGAAATATTTTTCAAAAAATTCACTATTAATTTGAAATTACAAGTGAGTGCAATGTTTAAGAAAAAAAACAAAACCAAACCACCATAAATATCCAATATCTCTTGACACCTAATGGCTTTTACAAGATTTGAGTGATTTTTGTGCTCCTTACATCAAAGATCTCAAAGCCAGCAATGTCCAGGACACCAATGAAATACTGCCTGGGCTGCTTCGTGTCCAGCTGTTCATTGATGCGAACAACCATCCACAGGAACATCTTCTCATAGACAGCCTTTGCCAGGGCACCCACTGAATTGTACACCTAAACCAAAGCAGATTGGAGCAGAAGAAATACAATATCCAGAGCAAACAGTACATGATTCAAGTCAGGTTCCCAGTCACCAGCTGGTTGTTGTTACCTGCTGCACAGTTTGGCCCTTGGTCACGTATTCATTCCCCACCTTGACGCGGGGGTAGCAGAGGGCCTTGAGCAGATCTGCTGAGTTCAGCCCCATCAGGTAGGCAGCCTTGTCAGCAACTAAACACAAAGAGAGAGGGAGGAAGTAACAGAGGAGAAGTGATAATTGAAAGATTATATCCTCTAAGATGCAACTGTTGGTCTCAGCATTGAAATTTTGTGATATCTTGAAGGGAAATTTAGAAGCATGAATAGTCTGGAAGCTGAGATTTATGTATTTGTGAAAGTAAACAGAAGAAAAATACATGATTGCCAACTTCCAGCTATGTAGCAGTTTCTGTTCTTAGGAGTTCTATAAGATTCTAATACCTTCAGTGCCATCAGGCTCTGCCTGCTCCTCTCGTTGTTTCTGCTTGAACTTCAGGTTCCCGTAGTGCATGACAGCTCCTGTCAGCTTGTAGATGGCTGTTCTCTCATCAGCCGTGAAACCCAGGATTTCAATGGCACTCTGGCAACAGAATCAGTCAAATAAACCACCTCTGGATCACTACAAAGAAGTTTCACCACACCGGTATGCTCTGTGACACTCACATCTGTAGCCATCAGCTCCTCCTGGTCGTTAATGCTGGCGACAGTGATCTCACCTTGACTCACAAACTGGTAGTCATATGGGTTGGTAGTGATGAGGAGCATGTCTGTAAGGAGGAATAGGATGTATCTGGGTGTGAGAATGAAGATAAATATTAAACACATTCAGAATTTATGAAACAATAATACTTCCTACCGATTAGCTCTGGCTTCTTGTTGGACATGATCTGATAAAAGATGTGGTAGCTCCTTTCCGCCTTGAGCTGGAAAGTGACTCTGGACTTCTCCAGCAGATCTGGCAAGGATGGTAGGACAGAGTTAGACCTGAGAAAGAATACTGAGGTGGAAAGGGAGGAAGGAATGGGGTCAGGTCAGGTGGTCTCTTACATGTTTCAATGTCAGCAGAAGCCAGCTTGCCTGTGGCCCCAAAGTGGATTCGAATGAATTTGCCCTTTTAGAGGGGAAAGAAAAAAAAGACATTTTAAAATTTCACCATGACTGTAATCATGCGACCTTATATTTTCCACAGAGGATAGACTTCAAATGTAGAAGTTGTTTCACTTTTATTTTTAATTTAACAAAGCAAAACAGGAAAAAAACAAATTCGGGAAGTTCTCTATACTGCCAATACTAGTAGATAAATCTGATCTTTATTATCCACCATTATTTAATGGATAACCATGAATGCACATGAATGAGAAGACCACTAATAAAACATTTTATTGGGTCACTTATGTTGCAATTCAAACACATGGATATAGTGAAAGCCATTTTCTAACCAGAAAGCATGTTGTGAAGGCAGATTTTGGTGGCATAAAAGTTAAATGAGGATTACTGGTCTTGTGGAAAACAGAAGTCAGCTTTTACTGTCTGAGTTGTAGAGACAGAGGCAACACACCCAAAACAAGGAGCTTTAGGCTGAGACTGTGGATTGGTATTGTGATTTTTTGAGGAAAGTCACAGTTAATCTCATAGAACGTATGAATGGCTTTTTGCATTAAAACAATCAAAAGAACATGCCATAGAGTAATTTGTTTTCTGGTAGGATGTATTGAAGGAACCCTGTCCCTACCCCTTTCTAGACAACTTATATCAAGGTCTGAACAGGCACATAATTCCCCATTTTGTGCCTAAAACCCACAGATTCATATTTTTGCTGGTCAGATGAAGGCCAGCAAAATTTCCATCTGGCAATTTCTATCTTGTATGCTCCATCTTTCCTTTCTTCTATATTATATTGTTTTCCACAAAATTGTGTCTTTAGTACATATAATAGAAACTAAGAATATTTGTATATATATATATATAGATAGATAGATGGATAGATAGATAGATATGTAATTATATATAGATATTAAAACATATTTAAATTAGCCCCCTTTGTATACGGTATTGTACTTCCTATAATTAGATAGTCTACTTTAACTGGCAAAAATACATAAAATAGAAAATAGTAGATTAATGAATAAATTCATCTGACTTTGACACTTCAGAAGAGACAGCATGTTCTGACATCCTTTTTCCCATATAAATGACAACTTCTCTAAGAAAAAACTCACAAAGCGTGAGGAGTTGTCGTTCCTCACGGTCTTGGCGTTTCCAAAGGCCTCCAGCAGTGGGTTGGCGCTGATGATTTGATCCTCAAGCGTCCCCTGCAGAGACATAAGAATTCAGTCACTGTCTTTAGCTGACAGGGCAATGAAGGCCACTCAGTCCATTCTTCCTCACTCACCTGCATTTTGCCTGATGACTTCTCTTCCTTCTTCTTGTCCCCACTGGCTGCAATTGTTGCAAAGTACTGGATGACACGCTTTGTGTTCACAGTCTTCCCAGCACCGGATTCTCCGCTGCCCAAGCCAAGAGAGAAGCAGAGGGTGCGTGGTCAGGCAGGAGGTCCCCTGGCACCGGGCAGCCCCTCAGGGACCCGCACAGGGGGTGTACGTACGTGATCAGGATGGACTGGTTCTCCCGATCTGTCAAAGAGACAGAAATACACTACTTAAAAAACAACAGAGAAGGAATGAAACACAGTCAGGTAAGTTGAAGGTTTTGCTTGATGTCAGCTTGACTTAAACAAGCAAACCTCCCAAGCACATCACAGAGTGCAGAGGTGTCTT